TAGAATATTCGGTGAGGGAGGCAAGGAAGCAAGGAAGCAAGGAAGGCAAGGAAGGCAAGGAAGGCAAGGAAGGCAAGGAAGGCAAGGAAACCGCTGAGGAAGCAAGGGAGCAAGAACGACGGAAGTAGAATTAATAAGGAAAGGAGAATTAGGAAGAGAGTAACTAATGACATTTGTATTTATAAAAAGACTACTTGAAAAAATAAAAACACTCCTCCTTTAAATTAAAGCTCTAAATATAAGCAAATATAGCCCGGAGTCTAAAATGAGAACCAGAAAAGCAAGATATATCTATTTCAAAATTGTATTCGTATGGTCAATTTCTACGACTAAGTCATATCTTATTGAAATTCGCTTTGGATATTAGATCAACYTTTCATTACTTATAGTACACTTAATCGATATTCCTCCTTCTAAAAGCGCAATGTCCATCTTTATAAGATTTGAATGAAGATCATGTGATATCAGTCTACCTGTCTCCTTTATCATAYCCGAAAAAATTGAATTTTTGAACCCTTTTTAGCTCTATCTGATAAAACGTATGATAATGATGCACGCGCTACCAGTATTGGTTTTACGTTATAAAGCTGCCATTTTTCCTGGAAAACATGATCTTATGCTTGATAAATCTTTCTACGACCGACGACATTCAAAATAAAAATGAAAACCATACTTACTTGTTTTTATATTCAGAACACTGTTTTTGTTTTAAAACACAGTGAGTCGTTTTTCACCTTTGATATTAGGATTAGGAAAAAAGCGTACGTGACTTGAGCTAATTTGTTCCAGGACTCCTCACCATCCGGTTTTCATAATTCCCATTTTCAATRATAGGATTTTATTTTATTTATATTTCATTTTTTTTAAACCAAACACTTGGTATTTTTCATATTTCTATTTCATTGCCTGTGATTTTGAGTTTTAAACATGTTTAGACAAGAAAAAACTAAAGCTTTTAAACTTGTTACTGTATTGAATCACTGCTAAGATTTCAATATCCTTCAAATGATTTCTTAAAAAACGTACGAGGAAAATATTATTTTCCATTTTTTTAAACATGTTAGAGGAAAAATGATAAGCATTAAGTACTTATGTTATGTCAAATGTTGCTTTGAAAGTTGGTGCTATTATCGTTATAAACTGAATCTGCCTTATACTCTTACTGAGCTGAAAAAAAACTGAAAATAGTAAATCATTCGGCCCAAATGTCTTTCAAGCGAAGAACTCGAAGAGTAAAAATGTTGGAMAATTGTACACACTTGTAATGTATAACAGGAAAAAACATGTACTCTTGCTCTTACTGAGATGAAAGAACTGAAGTAGTAAATTAATGCTCAAATATTGTTAAAGTAAAGAACCCAAAGAAGAGTGAAAATATTGGAAATTTTTACACGTTTGTAACATRTTACACACAAAAAAATATCACTTTTATAGTTGTGGCACTTCAAAAGGATTGCTTTCTCTCTCAACTTATTAAGAAGTAAGAAAGACTTATCGTGCCTTATGCACGWAAAGAGGTTTTTACAAGATTATGCAGCGCAAATTCTAGGAAAACCTTTCGACTGCGTGAAAATCCAAGAGCCACACGGAAGGATCGATAATCTCTGTATAAACAGCTTTTACATGCATCAATAAAGTAGTATATAGTGGTTGTTAATAGCTGTCATTATTCCTTTTGACAGGTGTCAGTGTTATCAATATGTGTAGGGTTTTGACCATAAACGTTTCTTGAGTATTACGTCCAAATGATTATCTAACAATTGAATTCGACGTTAATGATATATGTATGGTTGCACAGTAGTAAATCRATCATGGCTAGCTATATAGCTGTGAAGGGTGACAAAGACTGGATTAACTGATTCATTGAAGAGTACGTTCTGAATGACGAATGAACGTAGTTAGAACAGGACGTTATTTGAAATGTTTTGCCATGGAAATCTATGGATTCTCGATCGAGCCAGGACTATGAGATATACTAACTTATATTTCATTCAGTAGAAACGAAAACATGATAAAAATGGTATTTTGAGGATTCTTTCTTTCTTTCTTTCTTTCTTTCTTTCTTTCTTTCTTATCAGTAAGCACAAAGGGTCCATTTTCAATGGAGTATATATATATTGGTCTAGTATCATAGAAAACACCTTACTTCATTTATTCACAATCAGAGTTTGTCYCATTTTTAGCCGGATCAAATACCAATTGCTAATATCAGTAGTCGTCCATATGTCTAGGAGTGTTCAGGTCGCCAAACTCCTCAAAGACTAATATAATGCATGTGTACTTCTTTTTCAATATGAACTGTTCTAGAGGTTTCGAAGGTTTTTAAGAAAGAAAGAAAGCGAAAGAAAGAAAGAAAGTGAAAGAAAGAAAGAAAATGAAAGAAAGAAAGAAAGAAAGTGA